CTGCTGCTTTGAAAGTGGGAAATAAGGAAGTGAGGATGAAGCTGGGGAGAACAGTTAAAAAGCTACTGGAATGGAGTCAGGCCTGATGTGCACTCCTGTGATCCAGCACCAGTGGAGGCTAAGGCAGGATGATCTTGAGTCTTAGTGAGACCCTTTGGGAGGGGTACTCCTGAAATAGTGCACCTACCTGATGATGTATGTTGACCCACAGCTTGGGATGCATCAGGGCTTTTTTTTTTTTTTTTGGTCTTTATGAGACAGAGTCTTCCTAAAGCCAGCCCCAGCTTATCCTGAAACTCACTATGTAGACCAGGCTGGCCTTGAACTCACAGAGACGTACCTGCCTCTGCTTCCAGAGTGCTGGGATTAAAGGCGTGCGCCACCACACCCTGCGCAACAGAGCATTTTGAAGAAAAAGCTGGTGGGACTTGATGGTAGGTTAGAGGTTCGATGTGAGAAGACAGTCAAGGTTGACTCCCAGTTTTGTGCCTGAGCAGTTGGAAGGACTTGTTGCCATTTCTTGAGCTCACTCAGGCTACAGAGGAGCAGATGAAGGCTGGGATGCTCCCTTTGGACCTGTGGAGTTTGCAACGGCCATCAGATATGCAGTGGAAATGGTTAAGAAGGTGCTAGAGTTCAGGGAAGATTGGAGACATAACAAGGGAATCATCAAGAGGTAGGAGGGATTTAGCCCCATATTCTGGATGAAGGTATGGAGGCAGGCACAATCCAAGAACAGTGTTGCAAACAAGAAAACAGTGGCCAATGGAGCAAACAGGGAGCTAGGGCAGTGCAGAGTCCCGGGAGGCTAGAGAAGAAGACGTCACTGAGACCGGAACAGGAAAGCTGCACTCGGGAAAGATGAGCACATAGCGCTGGCCGCTGAAGTTCTATCATTGTTTATTAGAAATTGTTCATTTCTACCGTTTTGGGTGGGCAGAGCAAATAAAAAGTGTCTCCAGGAGTTCTATTCTATAGGGAAGCAGAGAAATAGAGTGGTGATTGGAGCGGAAAAGGATGGGATCAAGAGGATTTTTTCAGATGGGATAAATAACGGCCTGTTTGTATGCCGATAAGCCTATAGAGACTGCAAGATGGTGAAGCAATATTTATACTAAATTGTGTTCCTCTCTAGATGATCAGAGGATGGGTGATTTTTGTTTTCTTCTTGTGCTTTTCCCCTGTTTTCCAAATTATCTAACATGAATATTTATTAATTTTGTAATCAGAAAAAAGCCATTAAAATCCGCAGCACTGATTGCTCAAGTGAAGCCTTTCCGTGGTGACTCATCCCACGGAGAGGGGGAGAAGAAAAAAAACACCGAAGGACTGAAAAGAACGAAGAGGTGAAGAAAAATTAAATGCAAATAGAGCTCTCTGGGAATCAGATAATTTCTTGCCTGGCCCACTGCAATTTCTCCTGCCTGTCAGTCTCCCCAGGCCCTGTCCCCAACCCCACACAGTCACTGTCAGAGTGGCTTTTCTGAAATGCAAATCTGGTCTTGTCAAAGACCCTCCTAAAGGCTCCTCTCCACCCCCCACCCCCCACAGTTTGGGGAATAAAACCCACTCTCTTCACCCAACACAGGCTGCTCCTTGCATGGGGTCCAGTCCCATCACCGAATCAGGGTGGAGGCCTCCTTCCCCTCCCAAGCCCCCCTTCCTGGCTCTTCAGCCTCACGCACTGTAATTACCGCCTTCTCAGCACCGGCGACAGCAAGGCCTCTTGTATTCGCTCCCATGGCAACCTGCAGGCGCTCCATCAGGGCGCTCATCCACTCCAGTGTAATCACCCATTTACTCCCCTCCCTCCCATCCCCCCACTCGCTCCAACTCCCTTGACTACAGCTCTAGGTTTGGTGGTGGTTAGGGTTGTTTTTGTTTTTGTTTTCAATCTCCGTGTTTTCAGCGCCTTGCCCACTACTCAACACACAGTGTGTCTGTGGGTGGAGTGAATGGAGGCGCCTCATCTTTCTAAGCATGGGGAGGAGGGCGCAAGCCCCTTAAAAAGCTTCCCAGCAGCAGAGTTTTCCATGATCTGCTCTGCCTGGCCCTCACTGCAGAACACGCACCCTTCTTCTTTTCCATCTCACATCTATTAATTCAACTAGCACTCATTAAGGCCTAACCAAGGGCAGGGGTGTAAAGATAGATAAGAGGGATGCAATTGAACCTGGAGGGGAAGGGGGACTGGAGAGACAGAGACCAACATACATCAATAGGGACCCCCTGCACTGCCAAGTGTTTGGTCCACAACAACCTGGGTGTACAAAGCCCTTCCAATCCTGTTGGTGCCTCTGAGCCGGCCTCTCCTGGACCCCTCCCCCACTGTCACCACAAATCAACCGCGAACATCAGCCTCTCCCCACCCCTGGCGCCCTGGAAGCCACAGAGTGACCTCAAGGATAGCAGGCAGCAGTTGATGCTTTGCAGACTCTAAGCTGGAAATTCTGCTTGCAGGGGTTATGGCAGAGAGTTCAGGGCATTTTCCTAGGAGGGAGTGCAAAGTTCCAGAGGACTTCAGGCCTGGGGACTTCTGGAGAGGTTATCTCCAGAGGGGTGAGTGGAGTGAGGGACGCTCAGAAGTGACCTGGGGTTGTCCCTGAAATGCAGAAATCTATTAAATTTTTAAAGTCCTCTGAGTATCTGTTTGCCAAATGCTGCCTGAGTCTCAGGGCTGGTCCAGCAGAGGTAGGGAAATGGAACTTCAAAATAGAGGCATGGGCTAAAAATGTGAACTTAGTTCTGTTTCTTTTGATGTGGTAACCTCTTTTGTCTGTGGGAGTTTCCCCATTTTTGTTTGGGGGGGATTTAATTAGAGAAACATCCCACCCCCACATGTTGAGCGGGAAACAGATGTGTCTGATGAGGGATAAAGGACTTTGAATGGACTTGGTGCCCCAGCCCTGTGCCTGGGAAAGGAATGTTGTCTAATGCGTTGATCCCTTGGCATGCGGTGTCAAGTGTGTGCGCGCTGGGAGGCTTCATGTTCCCACGCTCCGAGCCCCTGAAGGAGATGAGGACTGAACAGTATGGTTGGGAATGACTCTCTGTGGATACAATTCCACAGGTACGAGGGCAGCAATAGAATCTGCACCAGGATGCAGTGCAGCCTGGGAGGCTTAAAAGCTGAGTGGTTGTTACACAAAGATTTATTTTGGAAAGAAGATATGCTGCCAACACCTTTCTAAGACTCTCTCTCTCTCTCTCTCTCTCTCTCTCTCTCTCTCTCTCTCTCTCTCCATGTTTGTGTTATGTGCATACGGTACACATGGAGGCTAGAAGTCAATGCCAGGTGTCTTCCTCGATCACTTTCCATCTTATTATTTATTTATTTATTTACCATTTGTTTCTTTATCTGAGACAGGGTTTCCCACTAAACCTGTTGCTCATTGATTCAGCATGACTGGCTAACCAGCAAGCTACTTGGCTCTTCCTGTCTCTGACTCCCAGCACTGGGCTTACAGGTACCAGGTATGCCTGACATGGGTACTGGAGATCAAACTCAAGTCCTCATGCATGAGTGGCAAGCACTTTACCAACTGTGTCATCTCCCCAGGTCTGTGAGGGTCTTTGAGATGTCCTTGAACACAGAACAAATGAAATAGATTTTCATGGTATTCAGAAAGGACAGTGGAAGGTGTGGAATCAAGGAGGGACAAGAGGCTGGGAGCTTAGGATGGGGTTCTCTCTGCCCTAACCTAGGTCAGGTCTGCGGCCATTCTCCCAGACATGTTGGGAGACTCCCGCCTGGGGGAGATACTGCACAGAGAACCCTAAGCGCAGAGAGAGAGGGGTGGGGGGCTGGGGGGAGCACAGCAGGGTCACATTGGGCTTTTTTTAACCCTCCCCCACGTGGAATCCCTCTGGTACTGGATGGCCCACACCCAATGGGGACCAAAGGAAGTCATTAGAAAAGCAAAGGAAGCCAGGCATGGTGGCGTACGCCTTTAATCCCAGCACTTGGGAGGCAGAGGCAGGCAGATCTTTGTGAGTTTGAGGCCAGCCTGGTCTACATAGTGAGTTCCAGGACAGTTGGGGCTACAAAGAGACCCTGTCTCAAAAAGACAAAAAAAAAAAAAAAAAAAAAAAAAAAAAAAAAAAGAAAGAAAAGGAAGCCTCTAGAAGTACCTAGAACAGACTTTCCTCCTCTCCACCCTTCTCTCTCCTGCTTTATGGTAGTTGCAAATTTCTCCACGAAAGGACATATCCACAGTTACCACACTGTGAGCCTCCCTGACCCCACAAACAAACTCTGTCCTAGCTCTGTCCTAGTGAACCTAGGGGTTTGCTCTTAGAAACATACTTTTTTTGCTGGGCATGGTGGCACATGCCTTTAGTCCCAGCATTCAGGAGGCAGAAGCAGGCGGATCTCTGTGAGTTCAAGTCCAGCCTGGTCTACATAGCGAGTTCCAGGCCAGCTGGGCTACAGGAAGACCCTGTCTCAAAAAGACCAAAAAAA